TTTTTTACTTTAAAATTGTTTCATTAGTTTTTCAACCTTTCTATGGATTGAGCAAGTGTTTCTGAATAACTAAAAAAAAATAAGAACAAACCTTGGTTTAGCTATTGGAGATAATATATGTGAAGTGCTCAAAATCCTCTTATGCTGTACTTTCTTCACAGTTTCAAACAGTCCAAGGCATTTTTAGAATTGTAGGTGCCCTGAAAATACCAACTTATTTGCACTCTTACCTTGGGTTTAAAGTTATTCAATTCACCATTTTGCATTCTCCATAGTATATGCTGAGTAGCGTCACCACCAGTTCCAAAATTTAAACTATGCATTGGTACAAACCATTTAAACCATATCTGTATCAAGAAAAGTAAGTTGACTTTTGAGTTAATGTGTATTCTCTGTTCAAATTTATTGTAAAACAAATCAAAGTGGATTTAAACATGTAATTTCATTAGCTTATTACATAGTAATTACGTAGCTACGTATAGAAATCCTGTTACAGACTTGACAACCAATCATACAGCAGGGTTTTTCTAGAACACAAATTTTAAGAAGGAGCATACGACTGGAGAGAGTAATTACGGGTCCTGAAACCTCAGAAATTAAGACATTATAAACTGTTGAGTATTCAGTAAGAGGGTACAAGCCTGGAGTATGAGGGCGCTGCGTCCATGATCTGAAAGTATCCTTGATGGGGTATTTTACTACACTAAAATGCACATATGTATCACATGTGACTTGATTAATTGATTGACTGATTGCTGATCAACTGAAAGTGAATACAATTTGCATAATTTGCCGCAATTCAACCAGATCCAGTAACATGCTTGAACTCAAATGTTGAAAACAGACTTAATAAAACATATTTGCTATTGTAAATCAATTTCAAAGAGCGAAGAAAATGAATATAAATCTGAATGCTAAAAATAAACTAAAAATGTACAGGTTATTTTTTTTAATGTACCTAAATGGTTTGAAAAATAATGCTGTACATGACTAACCAGTAGCTGAAAATTGAATATAATTATAATGTGCCTGTTAATGAAAGTATCTAAACAGTGATGGCAACGACTTAGGAGACAAACTGCATTTATTAGTTAAGGATTTGTACACCTTACCCTAACACAAAAAAAAAGAATTGTTTTCAAATAAAAACAAATTTGACTTCCTTATGGGTAGTTATGACAAGTTCATATACCATAGTTGTCTGAGTATAAACCCATCCGGGGAAAACGGCAAATTGACGAAAAATTGGGGTGGAGGAGCTTAAAAACGGATAAAAGTTAAAACTTCTCCAGAGTGATAATTTATTCATAAACAAATCGTTGTGTGTACGATACTAGAGTGTCTTCATCGACTAGCATCGTCCAAATAAACTTGAGGATCGACCGTTATTCTGGGTTCACTAATCACTCTTGGGTGCATTTACTAAGTGGAACAGCATTCGACCCTGTGTTTCACACGTGAATATTGGGGTAATGAAAGTATATTCTAAACGAAGTATATTCTAAACGAAGTTTCAAATAAAAACTAACACAACTGATTGCGTAGCAGCAAACGATCACAGTTGCGCAATCCGGTCATGCTGCATTTCACAATTATTGATTATTACTCAGTAGTGATTATAATAACGTACAAAAAAATAAATTCATTGAATTGTTATGAAATGCAAATAAAATTCAACTAAGTTTCATCATAAGCAAATGTTTCCAGTAGCATATAAACGATCGATGCTATCGGGTATCCGCCATTTTCTTTTTTTCGCACGAGTTGACCTAATAGGTCAAATCACTAATTAATCAATCAAAATGCTGGATGATGCCAACATATTCAAATTATCATAGCTCATTTAAATATGTTAATGTTATTGAGTGCAACACAAAAGAGATTTGCCGTTGTCGTACGATCTTTTGGCTTGCATTTTGATGGGAAAACAACATAATTTTTTTTTCAAATCCAAAAATAGTTGTTTTCAAAAGAATAATTTAACATTGTTTACAGTGATAACAGCTCTTTGTCCAAACGAAGCTTACCCATTCACGCTGGTCACAATAAACACGCTCTTGAATAAAAACTTAAATATTTTAGGCTATTTTAGGCGGCAGCAAAGATTGAAATGTTCAAAAAATGACCCCAAAATATTTAAAAAAACAACTTTAAAAACTGACGAAAAATGACCCTGGGCGATTTCTTGGTTCCATTTTTATTTTATTTTTTAAACACAAACTGCTGATTAACGGCCCAGGGCGAATTTACAGCTGAATCCGGTACTACACGGAACGCATTTCAAAGTGAAGGTACATTAACGTTTGTGTATACTGTGCAAACACAAATCAAACAGTCCTTTTCAGCGCCACCACATCCTTCAGGAAGGGAACTACCGTTATTCACATACCAAATAATTTTGCCAGACCGGGGGTTAAATCGGATAAATGACTTGCTGTAAAATGATGTAAGTTTGGAGGGGGGTTACACTCAAGCAGGGGTTTATACTCTGAAAACTATGCTATATTTAACGGAAACGGGCTATGCATGACCAAGATCCAAAATGGCAAAAATCGCAAGTTTTAATGAATTTTTAGGATTAAAATGTCCACAGTTCAGCCATCTTGAATTTAATTGTCAAATGAATAACTTTACATTTGTGCAACATGATATATAATGTATATATAAAGTAACATGATATATAATGTATATATAAAGTAACATGATATATAATGTATACATAAAGTAACATGATATATAATGTATATATAAAGTAACATGATATATAATGTATACATAAAGTAACATGATATATAATGTATATATAAAGTAACATGATATATAATGTATACATAAAGTAACATGATATATAATGTATATATAAAGTAACATGATATATAATGTATACATAAAGTAACATGATATATAATGTATATATAAAGTAACATGATATATAATGTATACATAAAGTAACATGATATATAATGTATATATAAAGTAACATGATATATAATGTATACATAAAGTAACATGATATATAATGTATATATAAAGTAACATGATATATAATGTATACATAAAGTAACATGATATATAATGTATATATAAAGTAACATGATATATAATGTATATATAAAGTAACATGATATATAATGTATACATAAAGTAACATGATATATAATGTATACATAAAGTAACATGATATATAATGTATACATAAAGTAACATGATATATAATGTATATATAAAGTAACATGATATATAATGTATACATAAAGTAACATGATATATAATGTATATATAAAGTAACATGATATATAATGTATACATAAAGTAACATGATATATAATGTATATATAAAGT